GTGCAGACCATTAACTGCTGAGAGCATTTGAGTGAACAGTGTAATCTGAGGTTTCGAGGAAGACATACTGTCTTAGTTACAGCTTATATGATTATCAAAGTAATTCCTTTCTGATGGGGAAGGTAGAAATATCCTTCACTATGCCAAACACCTGGAAATTATTTCTGTTTGTAGCCTAAAAACCATTTCTAAGTATGTGAAACCAATTCATCAGTGAAGTTTTCCACATTCCAGAGAGAGTAGAAACTTCTAATCATAACTTTAAAAACTTATTATAAAAGGAACTGACATGTTTTCCTGCTCAGTCTTCTAAAAATGTAGTCTCTCTGCTCTGTTTCAAAATATGCTTTTAGTTTAATGATTATGGTTATAATTAAGGGACTAGTTAGAAAAACTACAGCTATAAAGTATAAACATGGCAACCAAAGTACCTTTCCAAGCAAAGAGGAGACTCTGTGTCTGAGATGGATGTTGTAACACACTTGCATTACAATAAGATACAGTACAGTGCTTTACCTTAAAGAGAAAAAGTTTCTTTTTAAGTATTTGTACCATGCATCAAGACTCATTGGAAAATTGAAGACTGAAGATCTTTTTTCATCTCATTTACCTTGCTACTTGTACTTTAGTTGTGTAGGTCACCAGTACAGGCTCAAGTGCTCACCCATGGCAAATTCCATTTGTTTTGGGCATCTGCCTTAGGGTGGAGGTAACCATCTTGTAAAAAGTAGTTTTTGAATGGCTGAACTACAGCTAGCTTTGAGAACTTTATTTGTACATGTTGCTCAGGAAAGGTAGCGCAGCTAGCAACTTGTTTGAACTACTTTAGATTATGAGGTACCGTTTGTTCCCTTTTCTTTTAAGAAAAAAAGACAAAGTAAAAACCAAATACTTGCTTTTTCCCTCCCTTTCAGTTGGTCATTTTTTTTAGAATACACATACATCTTTTTGGGTAATGGAGAATAAGATAATAATCAGGACTTTCTTGAATAAAGAAGTATAGTTTATTTCAGCTGTAAAAAAGGAGTTTGTTAACTACCATGTGCTAAAGAATCACAAACACAAATAGTTTTGGAAAATTACATATGTTCTTTCACTTTTTTGTTTGACTTCATCAGAATTTCAGCCATTTACTGTAGGATAAGAACCAGCATCTCAGAGCCCATGGATTTAAATTTAAAACATCTTTTATACTACATTATTGTTCATCTTTTAGTACTTCTTTGAAACTCTATTTTTTATAGTACCTGCAAAAATCATGACAACAGACATATCGCAAGAATGTTAAGAGTTTCAACTTTGGATACGAGGGCAAATAAGATAGGGCACTTGTTTTCTCCATGGAGTTTCCTCAGAGCCAAAGGGCAAAGGAAGTTTCATACTCCTTTCTTCCTACAGTTGTCCATTCTCATTTCAAAAGCTTTGTCCAAATCTGTTGGGAAACACCATTTCAGTTTGGACCTACTTGCTTTACACATTATGCTGGAGAGGTGATGAAATTTTCATCCCTGGAGACTTTAGATAGAGCCCCGAGAAATCTCTTCAAAGCTGGCTTTGCTTTGAGTGAGGATTGGACCAGATGGCTTTTGGAGATCTGTCACAATTTAAATTATTCTTTTGCAGTCAGGAAAATAAAAAGAAATAAGTATTTTGATTGCTGTGAAGATAATGCTGATAGTTTTGATTTTCTTTGCTAAGAAATCATAAGGAAACAGTCAACACTAAACAGCATTAAACAAAAGTCTATCCTCACTTGAATGAGTCACTATGCGAAGTAAGAGTATATAAATGAATAGCTATATAATTGTGGACTATAATCTGCTATATATACACGCATTTAAAAATGTGCAGACAAATCTGTGAATTATGGCATTGCATGTGGATGGAATTTGTGTACCTCTAAGATGATTACCACATGGAAAGCTGTATTTTTATAGTGTTAAACACAAATCGCTATTACCATTTTGTTTCTGACAAAAGTTATAAATTGAACTTTTCTGAGTGTGAGACTGCACTTACCCACATGAAAAATTATAAAATATTGTGTTACTTATAACAAGGTAATTGTGGATTTTGTTCAATACCAGTAGAACTACGCAGCTATTATCAAATATGAGTAATTTATTTTCTCCCCTTCTGATCCTGTTATATATAGTTTCCATCCTGATGATCAGTGTATTGGATGTACAGCATTTAGATTGAAAAATGCTGCTTCTGATAAAGGATTGTTCATTGTGGAATTTATTTGTGGTGGCTATTTTTTTTTACTTTATTTTTTGTTTGTCATTATTAGGATCAGGTTTCTTCCATCATACATAAGAAAATGTTGAACAATATAAGGAATTCAAAAGATAACATGGGGTTTGGATTCTTCTTATTTTTTACAGGCCTGGCAGCTGCGATTCAGTCACCTTGTGGGCTACGGTGCCAAATACTACTCCTACCTCATGTCCAGGGCTGTTGCTTCTATGGTGTGGAAACAGTGCTTTGCTCAGAACCCATTTGATAGGTAAAAACAGAAATGTTAAATAGAATGAAATGCTAGTTGCTTCTGAAAAACATGAAACAAATTAGGTTTGGGCTTTTTTGACACAAATTAGTTTTTAGTCTTTTTCTTGATTCTAAGAGGACTACAAAGCAGGAAATAACTATAGAGATATACACACACACACATATATATATATATACACACACATGTATATGTGCGTATATATATACACTTTGGGTCATATTCATTGGTGCAAAAAAATTGTGTTGGTATTGTAGAATACAGGTGTGTCAGTTGGGAGGCACTGAAATCCCTATTTAGGTGTAATTAGAGAGCTTGAAATTCATAGATGCCTAATGACTTGTAATTTTCTATTGAAATCAAAGCAACTGTGGGTATTAAACAAGCTTCATGTCACCAACTTCAAAGCTCAGTAGAGCTATCCTAGTCATTTTGCTTTGTGAAATTAAAAAAGCAAATTGTGAGGTCACAGATTGTAAGCATTCTTACACCTATGCTGAATGTTCAGGACATTGTAACAGAGCAACTTTTACCTTTGGCACAATGAAGCCTGAAATGTTGTTTGCAAATTAACTTCTATAAGTACCAACACACACTCATATGAATAAAATTTGTCTAGTTCGGTTCCTCATAGTGGGAATTTTAAAATGTAATTTGATTTTGAGGAGGCAGCATGGCATCAGCCATTGTTTTGGGGTGGAAAATTTTATTTGGTCTCTGTCTGAGTTCTGTAGAAATGCTAGAAGCAAACTTGAGTAAAGACTGGACAGGTTGTGTTTGCAGATGGCTCTAACACCTGTGTTTCTCCAGGGCAATGGGGGAGCGCTATCGTAGAGAGATGCTGGCACACGGCGGTGGAAAGGAGCCCATGCTGATGGTGCAAGGTAGGAAATAAATTATATCTGTTCTATTCCCCTGCAAAAGGAAGGAACTTCAACTAACTGCATTTCCCAACTTGCTGTTTTTACTTTTAATTATGATGTTCACTGGATTTATGAAAGAAAAATTTAAGTGGACTGGTCATCACCTTTTTATCATAGTCAGTAGAACTCCTTGTGGAGTACACACAGCTGGGCTGAAGTGTTGGGAAAATTTGTATTACAAGGCTGCCTAAAGAATTCAGAATAAACTTGAAGGAAGATAGATTACATCATTTATTGGATACAATAAAGTAGTAACTTTTCCATACATGGAATTCATAAAATGTCTGTTTATTTTGTGGAGAAGTTGAACTTGTTTTGGCCACATCATTTCAGTGTCATCAAAATATCTTTGGCTGTATCAGTACTTCGAGTGTACATTATTTTCATGAAATGCAGCTCTGACAACTATAATAAACACAATTCATTATTCATCTCACTACCAATATTTGCCTTTGGAATCTGGAAAATAGCTTTTAAAAATCATTCATGCCCACAGCAAAAATACTCTATGTGTCCATACCTTAAAAAATAATGCCAGGAGAATGAAACAAGTTAGAGAAACGGTTGACTTTATCTCAAATCTATGAAATCAGGGTAAAGACTTGCCTCTGTAATGTTGCAGAATTCACACCGAACATTATTTTTGCTGTTCCTTACGTGAGCACTTGCTAAGTCCTGGCACATCTTTCAATTTTCTCTGAAATTCTTAGTATTAAGAATGAATATTAATTCACTGGCCTCTGTTCACTCCATTTTAGCAGACTGGAACTTGTGGGACTTTTTTCTACAGATAAGGAAGACAGTGGTAACATGTCTGTATTTCATCATGAGATTGGCACGGTTTCATGACTGGAGCATTTCAATTCTTTGACCTATCTGTTTATATTTGAGGCCATGACCTCTGCTGTCCTTAGACTCATTGTATATTAAGCAACTCTATATTCTTTAGGTTGTCTATTTACGGTTCTGATCTACAGGGTTACTTTTCATTCAGTATGACTTCCCAAACTTACTTCTCTTTACTGTTCTTGAAGAGTTTGTGTTTGTAACCTTGAAAAACTGTAGCCCAGAACTGTGGAATTTGCAAGACAGGAATGTGCATCTTTGCAAGCATATCCAGTTTTTACTTTGTAATTCATATGGTGGACAAAGAAAAAATGTTTTTAAACACCAGATACACTTTTGATCTCTTTCTGGGATATACTCTTTATTTTGCTGAACATGGGATTTTCCTGGAATGTTCTGGAAACTATGTTGAAGTTGCTGGCAGTATGCTTCCATGAATCAAGTACTATTTAAATGAAGTTTCAAAATTCATCTGTGGATGGTGTTACAGAAAAACTGTGGAAGTAAAACTATCTTTCCCCCTTGCATGTGATAGGATCTTATGGGAAAAAGTGTCAAAGGGCTCACTGAGGTCCAAGGAGGTGATGTGTGCTTCTCTCCTCTTTTCTGCCAGGCCAGTTATTTCATCATATAAAATTATCAAGTTATTTAATAATGCCTTTGGTGAATCCATGGTGACTATTCCTGATTATTTTGCTGTTCATAAGTCTGAAAACGGTTTCCAGGATTAGCTGGTCCAGAACCTTTCAAGGGACTGAAGTGAGACTGACCAGCCTCAGTTCCTTGGGTTCTGCTGCTTGCTTTTCCTGAAGATAGACATGACTTTTACTTTTTTCCAGTCTTACAGTGCCTCTCCTGTTTTAATACATTGCTGAGATTTTCCTAGCAATGCCATTTGCTAGCTCCCTTAGCGCTGAGAGGTGCATCCTGCCAGGGCCTATGGGCTTGTTTATGCCCAGTTTTCTTAAGTGTACCATGATCTAATCCTCTTCCATCAAAGATACACCTTCTTTGCTTCAGATTATCTCCCTGGCCACTTTTGTATTCTGAATTTCACTTTTACACTGTTTATACAGAAATCCTAACTGATATTCAGGATCGTAAAAATAACCAGTGTTTATCAGCAGATTCTTTGTGCATAGCATGATGTTCATTTGTACACGGTAAAAGAAACCTAACAAACGTGCTTAAACGACTCCCTGAAGAATGAAATCAGGGTGACTCAGGTGTTTTGACAAGACAATAACTTGATTGCTGATTTGGGATTATTGGAAGCTAAATCATAGAACACACCTGATGAAAAAAGTTATATTTGTACTTGATTGGTCTGTATTTCGTACAAAAAATGAGAATTTATGGAGAAAAGTAGGAATAATCCAATTTGTTTAGGTTTAATGAGCTGATTCCTCTTGCTGCTTTTTTTCATTATCAGTATTTCAGACTACTTGATTTCCGTCTCCTGTTGGTTTCCATCAGTTGCAAAACTCTGCTCTCATAGCAAATAACAAAACATATCTGGTTAAAGACAGATTCCACTTTAAAGCTTGTTGATTTTACTCCTCTTCAGAAAAACAGTCCAGAATCTGTGCTAACTAGTGCCCTATTTCATAAAAGTTCTTTAGGTTGTTATTTCAGGTGTTTTTTATATGGGCTTGCACATGTCTGGCTTTCGGATGCTCATCTGCAGCCTCACCCTTGAAGTGTTTCCATACCTCATTAGGAAGTTAGCCATGTTCATTGGCTGTTTGATAGCAGCTTACTTCACAAGCACATTTCATTTATGCAGTTTCTTTGTTATGATTTTCTTCTCAGAAGCTATCTATTGTTTTTCTTTTGTGTTTGGATATGACCCGAGCTTTTCATCTTTTTCCAATATGATTCCATAGATGTACTGATTAGGAAAGATAAAGCATCTGACCTGTGGAGCTGCTCACAAGGTTCCTGTTTGAACTAGTCTTTAATTAGGAAACACAATATACTTTTTGTTGTTGTTGTTGTTTGCATTTGATTCTCTTGGTATTTGTTTCCTTTAAAAAAAACCAAAATCATAGAGGTTTTTTGAAAACTTTTTAAACATTTTCTGAAATGACCCGTTTTATGTTACCCCTTTGATATTCAATTAAATACAGAAATAGTCAAAATACAGATATCAGAAGCATTGAAAATTGGTGGATGGTGTTTTGTCCAAGAGGCTTAATTTTTCCTTAGAGAAAAAGTATGTTTTGAGAAGAACTTGATTCCTCTGACATTTTGTGTTGACTATGTGGCTCTTGCATATTTTCTGCTTCCTAGGACTACATGGCATTAGGGATTGCAGATTCCTTTAAAGTTACATAACCCAGGTGTCCCTTCCAGGTCCAGTTGTGTCTGGTTGCAGGTCTGAACAAGATTCAGGTGTGCACCATTCCTCCCTCTCTCCCTTGGCACTCTCTGACTGGAAAGAAACCAGGTGCATAGGCAGAAAGTGAATTGCAGTGTGAAAACTACCGGGTTGGATGTTTTGGGAACTAAGAGCATGGAACATATCTTGGAGTGCACTTCTGCAGCCTTGGTGCAGTCACATTGCATGTGGGGCTACTGAAGACGTCCTTGTGAGGTTATGTTCTGGCTTTGTTGATGCTGTGTTGCATTGCAGACAGTCATACTCAGCTCTGTGCCTACATGGTAACCAAACCAACTGACTGTATTTATATAAACATCCATTTGCTCCAATGCTGTTTGAAAATTTGCTTTTCCGTGCCTCAGATCGTACTTCATGGAGTAATTAGAAATTGAAGAGGCTGAAAAAAATCTTCATAATGATTGTACATCTCTTTGAAAGTGTAAGAAGTATGCATAAATCCTAGAAGGTGATGTGAACAGCAACATATGTTAGCTCAAACTACATGGACCCAAAATAATTAGTGTTCCAGGGGGCCAGAGGCCAAATTTTGCCACAGGCTTTGTTCTTCTCTCAATTTTCAGTGATTGTAGGTTATAGCTAACCATCTCTCAAAAGGGTGTGGTTAACCACAGTGCTGTAATGTGAAAGAAACTTCAAAGCAGCGAAGATAAGCTATGCAGTTGCCTTAGGCTTGGGAGAGACTGAGCTGAAATAGGAATTGGGCTGAACATATTAAAATACACTCCTAAATTTGAAAACTGCAACCATCAGACCTTGTGGACATCTTACTAAACCATTTAGACTGAAGTGCTGAGTACTTACACTATATCAAAGCTGATCTTGCTTTGATATATTTTAATGGGGTTTGAAGAGAGACGTGACCACTCTTTAGCACATCAGTGTAGAGTAAGAGGTTAAAACACAGAAATACCATCATTGCCTGTTTCTTTTGGAGCTGTCTTACTCTAAAATCTGTAGTTATTTATTTAATGAGGGCATGATCATTTCACTACAGTAGGAGTTCTTTAGCAATGACCTCAGTTACTCTTTATCCCTTCTTTGCAAAATCAAAGTCTGCTGGTGTCTGCTTTTGATGTCAGTGTTGGGAAAATAGGAGTGCACTAAACTACTAATGCAAAAAACCTGAAATCTGTTTTTATTGTCAAAAGCTGGAACTACTGGATCAGAGGTCAGTTGACATCACCATTGCCAGAATGATTTTAGAATCTCCTACATATTTAAAGCAAACTTGGTTGTAATAAATAAATACAATTTGTAGCAAGTTTCAAGTGATATTTGATAAGACTGTATTCAGCTGCACTAAAATACATCCAAGTATATTGTAATTAATTATATTTCTCTTGTTCATTTTGTAATATTGAGGGTTGGAATGTTTTTGTTATGATTTGACATTTTTATGTAAGAGGGGAAATTAAATCTCCTTGAAAGTTTGAAGATAACTCCAGCTTCAGTTTCTTGTCTTCTGCCTATCATTATACTGTTGGCTCTTGGTTTTTTCCACTGTATTGATAATAGGAAGAGTAATTGTTAGTGTGTCAAAGAATTGGCTGAACATCATCCAGACTGGCTGTTTTTTATAAAGTCAGTATTGGAAGTGGAGTTTTATATAATGGGGCTAATGGGTTATGTCTCTTATAGCCATCTTTATGTAGCAACTGTGCAGTATTTTAGTCATCTCTCCATACTGATGATATCTGGTGAAAAATGAATGACCTGTGTTCCAGTGGGCTGCTATCCCTCTCACCTTCTTAAGGCACTCTCTCCTCTTCTGTGAAAACAGAAAATATCCGTTTAACTGGAATTTTTCAGGGAGCAAATATGTGTGTTCCCCAGCCAGGAACCTGAGAGAGGGAGTCTGCAAGAGGCCACGTCTCTCTGGGGAGCTCAGATCAGTAGCTGGCTATCTGCACACATCTGTTTCTCAGCCCAGCACATAGCAAGCCATTTTTCATTGTGACCTACAAATAATTCCACCATGATTTTTCTAACATTAGAGTAGATGACAAGTTTACCAAGTACTTGGAAATACTAATTCTGTTCTCTTTCATTTTGAAAATAGCTTGATGCAAAGTTATTTTAACAGCATTTTAGTTAATCTATATATAGTGTGAGATTTGTTTTCCTTTTAGTGCTTGCTATTAGTCTACTGGGCCATGGCAGTTTGTGTTGACACTTGTAACGTGTTTAAATCACACTGAAATGGAATTCTGTAAGGTCTTAGCAAGAAAATTCTTTTCGGCTGCTCACTTCAATTTACTTTGAGCTGGCCTGTTTCCTGATGGGTTTTGAATCATTGTGTCATAGTAAAAGATTATAGTATTTTTGCAGCATGCAATTATAATTTCCACCAAAAGCAAATATTGTTGAGGATGTGAAAGAATATAAATTTATGTTCAGTAGGTACACCGATCAGAAAGGGTAGAACAAGGTTATATTTACATTGGCATATGCCAGAAAGATCACTTCAAAGAAATACAAAGATTAAATTTTACATTATTTGGCTGTTGTGCTGGGTTTTTTTTCTTTTTTTTTTCTGGTAGAAGTTATGCAGTAAATTTTCATGTGCAGTCTTGAAAGTGTTAATAACAGTGAAAAGACCAACTGAATGTGGTGTTACGTACAAAGAAACATCTGAAAATAATTTAAAGGATAAATAAATAATTTAAAGGGTGGCATGGGTCTCATGCCATCCAAAAATTCAGATTCTGGAGAGGAAGGGGTGAAATTTTTAGCTTCTCTGTTTATAGAATTACCTGATTAAGTACTTGGGCATGATTCTAATTCATTATGCCAATTTTCATGTCTGTTATCATGCAGCCAAGTGCTACAGGTAACAGATGCAGTAATTTAAATTCTTAAGAAAAGGTAAGTCCTAGTACTGTAAAAAAAAAAGCAAAATTAGAACTGCATTATGCTAAAAATGCTTTTGTTTATGTCTCGTGCCTTGTCAAAAATTCCAGCTGTAGCTGTATTTTGTTTTAATGCTAAATTAAAATGGTTCTAAGGTGTGTGTAATGCTTTGAGAAAATACATTTTTTTTCTGGCTTGGTCAGAACTGAGACTTAGCAGATAAGGATTTATATACCTGCTCAATCACTAATTTGTTTCAGTCATTAAGGAATGACTGAGGCTGCGGTTACATTGCTTTAAAACAGATATAATTCCCTGCTTAAAGAAGGTCTTAATGACAAAAATCATTTAACATTCTTGAAACCTGTCAATTCTGTGAAAATGCGTAACAGGTATCTTGAAGAAATTAAATAATCCTTCTGCACTGTAATTTTATTTTTTTTTTGACAAAGAAATCTGATAGCTGTTTCTGTTGTATAGCAACATTCAAAGTTAGTTAGCAGTAAGTGCTATCACTGACAAAGCTGTCAAGGTCATAGCATCCTGATGAAAAGT